CCATGGAATACTGACAGAAGTGCTTGGTTGGGGGACTTCTCCCATTTCCTTGTGACTTTGCCTCACATCAAGAGCTCGGAAAGTGTGCTACCTCAGCTTAGATTTTGGAGAGGAGATTTCATCAGTTAGTTTCCTACTGATCTTCCTAAATTTACATGTTCCTTAAGGGCCACAAGAGTGTTTTCAAAAGGAAAAACAACTTGCTTAGCCACCCAACTTCCATCTCTTATGTGACCCATGGGTTATTTATCACAGCATCCTGATTTTATTTTAGGGGAGAAAACATAGGATGTTTCTCGGGAGCTGAAGTATTTTGTCAAAGACAGGAAAATGGTAGCTGTATTATGCTGTTTGAAGTTTGTACTCTAAACTGATTCATTGGTTTGACAACCTTATTGATATTTTAAGTTGGATAATCATTTATGTATATTTAGTTCTTTAGAGATTTTGCTATTTAAAAGTTTATACTTTTTCTGATCAGTGATTCACAGGGAGTGGGGAGAGGGGGTGTTACTGGTATCAGATTTGGCATAGATCAATTTGCAAATTTGTCCTTCTAGAAAATGTATAGCTTATTTCCTTAGAATATTCCTTTAGGAGTTCATAGTTAATATAATGGAACATTTTGTCTTTTAGTCTATACTAACATGTAGTCTAGAACTTATATGTATATCTGAGGTTATGATGTGCCTAAGCATGTTCACAAGTGCAGGAACTTCTAAATGTATCTAATTTCAGTGTTTCTCTAATATAGTGATGAATACTGAGCTAATAAGAAACCATGGAAAAATGGAATAAAATGGGGGAAATGACTTTTTGTGTTTGTTATATCCATAGAGGCAAACTTTGAAAAACAACCCCTTAGATGACTACTTTCTAACCCAGTCCCTTGTTTTAATAATTAGGAATAGGAACAAATAATGACATTACTAATTGCAATATCCATTTTGACAAGCCTTTACTTATTTCTCTATTAAGATGGCTTCCTGAAAGTATCATCAAAAGTTAATGAATTGCATGTTAATTAAATTTGAACTTTTCTCCTCCAGAATTCAAATGGGAAAATCTGAAATATGATATATTCAAATTGTTTTATACTAAATTGGACATTAATTGCAATATAAATATAATATATGATAACGTTACACATGAATGTGATAAGAATCTGTAGCATTCATAATAGAATTTGCTAATTTTGAATATTGATTTATCTTATTAGTTCATTTTGTTCCTGAAAATTCAAATGCTAAAATAACGTTTTACTAGCATTTCCTAATTAACTAAGTGAAACTTTCCATGAAAAATTTATTTTCATCCAACTAACAAGTCCATCTATATTTTCTTCTCTTGTTTTGTTAGCCTCTCAGCAAATACCCTGCCGTGATAAATGACATCTCATTCTGGTTGCCCTCTGAGAATTACACAGAGAACGATTTCTATGACTTAGTCCGAACAATTGGAGGAGACCTGGTGGAAAAGGTTGATCTTATAGACAAGTTTGAACATCCAAAGTAAGTGGAAAGCTTTCTGCTTTTATACTTTCCTGTCTGCGTGTGACAAATGGCATGTGGAAACATACAATAGAATTTCACCAGACCCCAAAGCGCCTGAGACAGAATGTCTTCTGCATTCATGGTGATCATACAGCTTAGGAGAAAGCTCTTTTATATCAGTCCTCTCTGGAAATCTTTCGAAAATGCATTTTTATTCTTTCTTGGCTTAGTAAATAAAGTATATAAAACAGAATGTTTTGCAGTTTTGGGTCTTGTTTTTAGAAATAATTTCTTATCATTATCACTGTTTAGATACAGAGGAGAGGAGGCAGAGAAAGTATAGTTGATGGGGTAAAGGCTGTTTTGTTCACCTCAGTGAATATTCATTTATTAAGCATTTCCCACATATAAAGATCATTCTTAGGACCCAGAATTTAAATGGGTTCCAAGCAGATTTAGGTCTGTCTTCTTGGACTTTACGATCTTGTGGGAAAAGCAGATAGTAAATAAATAATCCCACCAGTTTGGAGTATTAGTAGGGGAAAAAATGCATTGTATATAATCAAAGAACTCATTTCAGTTGGGGAAGTCAGGGTAGGCCTTTTTGAGACACTGAGGCTGACCGTAGAAGTTGGAGGGGCAGTGAGGGAATGGGGAAGGGACATTCCAGGAGACAGGTGGGCATCCTGTGGGGATGATGGCATGTGCACAATGTAGGTGGCAGCAAAGGACATGCAGCTCCAGGAATTAGGTGGAAAGGCATGAAAGAGATGGATGTTGGTAGAGACGTGCCCAGCAGGGCCAGCACATGCAAAGTCTGAGGCTGGGATTTTACCCAAACTGCCATTGGAAACTCCAGAGGGACAGGAGCAGGACAATCAGTGAAATGCTCTACTCACCTTTCTGACCTGTCCTCTGTAAATGAGCCCCTTTGACTCCCACCTGTGAGCGAAGGGTCAGCCACCCGCTCCTGTCGAGCTCTACGTCTCCGTCCTTCCCTCTTGTCCTAGTTTGACAGCTGTGTTATAGCTACGATGTCAGGGCATGGGGTGTCCACTTTCCATCCTGTCATGCAAACCCCCAGCTTCTCGCTTCTTTCTTTGTTTTTTCAAGTCTTTCCCTGGGTAAAAATGTTCATTGCTTACTGCTATTTCCTTTGCCTTAGTTTCCCCTCTTATTTAGATGACCACAGTTCATTATCTGTGAGTTTGCTCAAGGTCTTGTGAAAACAATATCTCTGCACTTCCTACATGTTCAGAGTCAACTGTTTTTGTTATTTTCGTTTGCTTGTTTGTTTGTTTTAAATAGTTTTAGTTATAGATGGACACAATACCTTTATTTTACTTATTTATTTTTTATGTGGTGCTAAGGATCACACCTAATTCCTCACATGTGGTAGGCCAGCACTGTACCACTAGCTACAACCCCAGCCCCTAGATGTTTATATTTTAACAACAGTTTGGTTAGACATAAAAATCTGGGCTGGTGTGTGTGTGTGTGTTTTGAGGATCTTGTAAGCGTTGCTTAGTTATCTTCTTGGGTTTAACTTGATTACGAAAATCTGGGGCCAACATTTGTCTCTTTACTTTTCATCTTAAAAGATTCTTTTTTTGTCTTAAATGTTGAATTCTGTCAAGATGCTCCTTAGCATTGACCTGTTCTCCCTGATCTATTGTCTCTCACAAGTCATATTTGACCCTGCTTTTTTTTTTTAATAAGAAAAGTTTTCTTGGATTATATCTTTAAAGGATTTGTTCTGATCCAGTTCATTCTTCAGGCGTCTCCCTTGTCTGACTCTTTTCCTCTTCTCCCTAGCAGTTTTAATCTCTATTTCCACTCCATTTGGTGCTTCCTCACTGTGGTCTGCTGTCCCTTACTGTGTTTCCTGCTGTCTCTTCTCCCTTGTGCACACTCATTTCTATCTTTGGTTACCGCCCTCCCCCCTTTTCTGAGTTCTGCAAGCTCACATTCCCACTGCTCCTTGTTTCTTGCCATCTTTCCTCTGAGTTATTTCTGTTTTGTGATCTTCCTTCTTACAGAAATTGCTTTCCTTAGTCTTAAAAATTCATTGCAAAATATTTAGCCAGAAATCTCATATGCTTCAGTGGCAGCATTTTTCTATTACTTTCCCATTGATAAGCTTTTCTACCACTTTCCTTGCGTTTTCCTTAACCCTTTTTTAATTAATGTTGAAGTGGTATACATGTGATTTCTTCTTGTTGCTCATATTTGAAGGCATTGGCTTTCCCATACCAGCTCCATGTAGGGAGACTGGGAAATGAGGCTGGGGTAGGTGTGGCCGGGACGGGCTGGGGTTATGGTCTAGGCTAGCTCGATTTTATAGTCTTACAGCTTTCTTTCTCTCAGCTTTCAAGAAACCAACTCTGTAAACATGGCTCATCTCTTTGGTTCTTTATATAGGTCTGCTTCCTACCTCAAATCTACAGTTGTTACAAACAGAACATTGACCGTTGCTTATCCCAGTATCAAGACTTGGGGACAGAGATTTCTTTGAACTTCAGTGTGTGTGTGGGGGGGGGGTATTTTTCCTGGTGTATGCCACCTCATTGGTTTCTCCTCTTCACTTTTTCCCATTTGGCTTCTATTTGACTTCAGCTGTTTGGGACAGCCTTTAAATATATCTTGGAACTTTGCAGATGATACCTGTCTCCTAACTTTATAGAAAATGAAACCTATGGGGTGGTCTAGGTCTCAGACACTATGCCAATTTGGGCTGCACTGTTATGTGAGACAAAAATTCCCCGGAGTTTCCATGTTGATACTGAAAGTCTCGTTTTTACTTTTGTAGAATAAGAAAAATGTTGGCACGAGACTAGTTGCTAAGTACTAACCACTATGCCAAAGGTATGGGACTTTTAATTTTTCTTTTCTGCTCTTGTTAGTATGCAGGAAACTCTCTGGAGTCAAGGATTCAGGATTTGTTCTTAACTTTTGACTTTGCAATATCTTCCTTCCTAATATATCCTTAGATCCACCCCTGCCTCTCCTGCCACCTGTGTTCAAAGCGAGATGAGTAGCCCTTTTTGGTTGAAAATTATCAGGATCTACCAAGTTGCAAGTTGCAGAGAGATGTTAAAAGCCTAGGAAGAGCCTGTAAATCCCAGCTGCTTGGGAGGCTGAGACAGGAGAATTGCTAGTTCAAAGTCAGCCTCAGTAACTTAGTGAGGCCCTAAGCAACTCAGTGAGACCCTGTCTCTAAATAAAATACAAAACAGGGCTGGAGACTAAAATCTCTGGAGTTCAAATCTCTGGTACCCAAGAACTATATATATTTGGCAGGGGGGGGGAGGGGTGTACTAGAAAGCAGAGAGAAGTTCCTCTTGTGTTGCATGTTGGAGTAGATGTGGCTTTGGGGGTGGGTGAACATCCAGTCTCTCTGACTTGTGGGTTCTGTAATATGGAAGGTAAATGGAATGTGTGGTGATGTAGGAGATTGTGGCGGGGATGGAGTAGCATCAGGGACCTGCAGGCACAGACACACTAGACAGGCCAGCAGTCTATCAAAAGACCCTGGTGAAATTCCAGTGGACTGTGTTAGAGGCACTCTGTTCATGCCGGTCTACCCACACAACTCCTCTGTGACTGAGGAAAGGCACATTTCTCCAGTTCCTTCAGGAGACAGGACTTTTGAATGGAGATTTGAAGACAGTCAACCAAAGTTACTGCTCACTGGTACTGATCTCACCATATCTTAAATAATTATTATAAAAATATTTAAAGTTTATTATTTTGAAGATAGGACAAATGACTGTCCTGCGCAGGGCATGAGTCCAACTTAATGAGGGGCTTGGTGATTGGAGTAAGGTTGCTCTGGGGGAGACAACAAACCCCATCATACAATCCTGATTTGTTAGCTGAGCAACTTTCTACCAACTAAAAGTCTATACTTCTGATCCTCCACTACAACAAGGGGGCCAAGTTTAGACAAGAATTAATAACCTTAAGTGTTTAGTAGTATTTCTAGAGCTTTCCTTAAAAGTAGAGTTGAGGCTGTCCTTTTTACTTTCCCTTCTTGCTGCCTGGATGTGACTGTTATGCCTGGCTTCCTTGCAGCCATTTTGGACTATCATGTGACCTTGGCAATGAAGAGGAGCAAAAACATAGAAGTAACCTTAATCCCTGACTCTTGGAAGTGTCAGTCACCCCTAGAATTTTAAGCAAAATAGAACCAGCTGGTTTAAGCCACTATTTTTCAGATCTTTGTTATTGCCATGCAAAGCTAAACTTAGCTGTTACAGCCCTGAGAAATATATCTAAGGAAAAGGATGCATTACTTAGTAATGACAACTCATGATTCTCAAGAAGTATCTAGGGCAGGGATTGACAAATTCTTTCTGTTAAGAGCTGGATTGTTAACAGAAAGTTGGTGGGCCATGATCTCTCTCATAACTACTCAGTTCTGCCATTGCAGAAGCAGCCTCAAACACAGTGAGGTAAAGGAGCCTGGATGCCTTCTAGGAAATCTTGGATGCTGGAATTTGGCCCATGAACAGCAGTTTGCTGACCCCTGATTTAGCATAAGGAGACACGTGGAATTTTTCAAAGACCCTCCTACTCACTGATTCTAAAATTCTCCCCTGGGAAATTGTTCTTCCTTGGGCACCTTCCCTTCTTCCCAAGTTTAAGATTCCCTTGCCTAGGAGATGGCTAACAAATGGTCACCTGAACTTGTTCTCACCAGTGCATACTTTGACCTCAGGGTTTATTTTATTTTGTAAACAGAAAAAAGAAATATTGCCAGATAGTCCAAAAGGACTCTGTCCCTTTACACATGCAAGGACCAAACGAAACCCAAAGGACGCTCTTTGAAACAAACAGGTTGTAGAATAAATTTGTTATTATTTTGAACACTAAAAGACCTCATGATGTTTCAGGGAATCATATACTGTTGAATATGAGCCTAATTTCATAATGTTGGACAAATGGAGAAATTTTATCTTGATTACAAATAACAGTTTGTGCCCTGAAGGAAGATGGATATTCAGGTTAGAAGAAAA